TATAATTTTGTATTAAGAACTATAGCTTTAAAATTAATATTTAAAGAGTTTACCAAGAATAAGTAGATAATTTTTTTGATTAAAAATTTTTTTCTAAATTGATATATTTTATCTTACAGTATAAACAACTTAAAATCCTTTTCTCTTATAAAATAAAATTAAATATTACTATAATATAATTCTTATTTTCATTAAAAAAATTTTTATTTGAATATTTTAGATCATAAGTATATTTATAATAATTTTCCAGGCAAATTTGAAAAAATCAATAATAACTAAATGTAAAATACTATAATACAAGTTAAAATAAATATAAGTTTAGATTAAAAATTCTCAAAAAGAGATCAACCTGTAGAGTGCAGACACTATACATGATGAGTAAAGCAGTAAATACAAGAAAGATTCGCGAAAAAGAATTGATCTTACCAAATACTATAAGATCATAGAGGTTTTTTTATAAAAAAATAAAGATCCTATTTACCATGCGTTATATCATTACTTAAAATTGATTCACACAAAAATTGACTTAATTGACGATAGTTTGGATTTATATTTGATTTAAAAGTAGTTAAACGGTTTAACATCCCTAGATTACAAAGAATGTTTTTACAAAACAAAAGACCTCTCATCTAACTTCCGAATTACTTGACAGTTTATCGTTATATACGTATATATACTTTAAGATTTTTTTTGGTACGTGCCAATTTGTATCTGTGGCTGCCAATCCATTTTTGTAATGCGAAACGTTACGTTAATATGCAGAACATATCGTGTAACATTCCGGTTTATCATCCAAGCCCGTGATGCTATCATGTTATTAGGACCAGCACTTTTTTCGAAATGAAAATTTGAATGTCGTTATAATCTGAAAATTTTACTATCGATAATCACCCTATAAAGCTTTGAAACTTTGAAACTTTGAAACCCTTTGCTAAAGATGCCACGCCATAGTAAAAACAATACAGCACTTTCGTTTTTTACGTATGCCGAAGGCAAGGCTTTAAAATATGGTACAAAAAAGGTACGATTACGATCTAAAATTAAATCGTAACTTCCGATCTTTATAAATTCATACGTCTTTTTTTCTAGCAAAGGCTAGGCCGAGATTCCATGCGAGAATTTGATGCATGCTTTCTTTGTCTTCAAAGAGCCCGTGATCCTATATGTTGTGAGCAAGGTCATCTATATTGTAAAGAGTGTATACTAGAAAATCTTTTAGCTCAAAAAAGAGAAATCCGACGCCAACAAAATTTATTGGAAGCAAGAGCAAAAGATGAAATTGAGGAATCTAAAAGAAAAGAACAATTGGCAAAAGAGGCGGTGATTCATGATTTTGAGAGGCAACAGGTTAGAATCGCACCATTAGGAACAAAAACGAAGGAATCAATGAAAACATCAGACAAATCGACAAAAACAACAGATAATTCTACAAAAACAACAGATAATTCTACAAAAACAACTGATGATTCTACAAAAACAAATGATAATGGTAAAACACCCAACTCTACAAAAAGTTTCAAAGCTATAGAAAATGGCGAAACATTGCAAGGTAAAATTATTATCCAAATAATCCATTGTGCAGGTTTTACTATTATGTCACTATTTCCTTAAACATATAGATAACCAAAAGAGTTTGTAACAGTAGCTGGAAAAAAACGAGACTTTCGTCTCGATGAAGAAGAAGTCGAAGCAATAGCTCTACGTGAGCAACAAGAAGCAATGAAGAGATTAGAGGAGGAACAGGTATTTAGATTAGTAGAGATTTATAATTTGGTTAATTTGGTTTAATTCGATTATTAACATTACTTTTTCTGTCATAGACAGCTGCATCTAAACCAAAATTACCTAACTTCTGGTTGGTACGTGTCACGTAATTATATATTATTTTTAAAAAATTATAATTTTGAGCATCAGCATTTAATAATAAATTATATATATGCATTTGTGTTATATTTCTAGCCGTCACTTACCCCATCTGCGGATCCTGATAAAATCAAATCGGTGAAATTACAGACAATGTGTACTGCTACTGATCCTGAACATCCTTTTGGGTATATATAATTTTTTTTTACTATATTACAATTTACAATTTTTATATTTTTATTTTTAATGCTTATAACTAATCTCTTGGCATTATATAGAGTGAAAAATTTCATACCGACAAAGTTTACTGAAGACATAGACCCCAACACTAAAAAAACCAGCTTTGTTTGTCCTTCATGTCGTAAAACCTTAACAAACTCTGTTAAGATTTGTTGTATGTAATAAATTATTTCATTTTAATCAGGATATTTATGTTAACTGTGGTTCTAACATGTTCTAATTTTCATGTTTTAAGTGGTGAAACGCTGTGGGCATGTTATTTGTAAAATTTGTGTTGAAAAATTTGTTAAAAATTCCAAGCAATGTTTTGTTTGCGGTGAAAAATGTCGAAGCAAAGATATTGTTGATATGTCGGGCGAAGGTAAACATTCGTTAAATTCTGTAAATTTTTTGCAAAATTAATTTTTGGTATTCATCATTTATTATATATCAGGTACTGGATTCGCGAGTGGTGGTGGTCCGGTAATGGCAGAACGTTTCGATGTTTCGTTTCAGTGAAGTTACTGTTGATTCTACATATAGATTCTATTCTAGTTATATTATTACAATAAATTTGATAGTGATAATATGATACAGATGTTTGATTCAAAGCTTTGTGTAATTAATTCTGCTACACAAAGTTGGAAATACATATGTGCATTAATTCATGTAATTTACCGATTTATGACAAAGAAGGCAGTTAGTCTAGTCTAATCAGTCTAGTTTAACCAATCTAGCCAGTGGCATTAAAATATTTATATTGATTTAAATTTAAAATTACAAATGCAAAAAAACAACCAATCGTATATGTTTAGTGGTCAGAGTCTTAACAGATTTTTAAAACAAATACGAATTGATATTCCATCTTTTACGTATTAGTGTAAAAAAAAAGAAAATCTTATATAATAAACCACAATAACACATGCGATTATTTATTTAACATATATAGTTGGCATTCTCAGTGCATATTATACTAGGTGCATCTTTGGTTTCAAGTATAGTGTAATTAATAATTTTTATAAATTCTGGAGAGCTGCACAAAATGCACCTACGTATGTATTTAACAATAGTTAAGATAGAATTGGGTTTAAAGAAAGGAGCACTGAATATTTAAAATATATAAAAAAATTTTGATTTTATGTATGTATCTTTGATAATACTGTAATATCGATACATTTTTATTATATACATGTGATTTATACGATTCTTAAGATAATTTTTAATAATACGTAAACCGCAAAAATATACACATATATATATATATATATATATTATTTATTTAATATATATAAAAAATATTTTTATACAGTAAATAATATGTACGTACAAAAACATTTTTAACTTAAAAAGATAATTCTAATTAATTTTTTAAGAATGACAATGTTAACCTATTACCGTTAACTATTCAAAATTTTCATATATATACTATATATAGTTTTTTAAAATTTTTTTTTATTTGGTAAATGAAAAAAAAGGTACGTAGGTAAATATAACATAACAACTCGCTCAACTCTGATTAGAAACGCTTTTTTAAATCCAAAATTTCCTATGTTAGCAACAAGTCTATATATATGGGCTGTGATCTGAGAAAAGGGCCGAAATTAATAAAAAAAAAGATCTTCGGAAAATCAATTTTTATATTATAAATCTTATAATAAATTATAAGAAAATGCAAACTTTAAA